TGGCACAGGAAGCTGGGAAAGCAGGCCGCAACTCACCACCTAATATATCCCTGTCTTCAATCTCGCAGTATGCCCAATTGTTTACGAGTAATGACATTCAACCACACGACACTATTTTATCAGCCTTGGAGGTGCAGTAGTGGGAACCCGCATCGGTAACACGGTTGGCGGAAAGTGTCGCAAAACTTGGATAATCCTCACTTTGTACCTGCCTTGTCGGCCTTGCGCGCAAGACCCTCCATATACTCGCGGATACTCTTCAGCCATCTCAGGTCCGGCATGTGACTCACCCAGAAGACCGCCCTGTAGAACTAATGTCAGCATCGGTCGCATCTTGCCAACTGTGTAACGTACCGCCACCCAGGCTGTCCGACAACCTCGTCGCTCCGTCCTTCCGCCTTGAGGACTCGGATCGCCTCTGTAACGGTCTCCGGATCCACATACCACACTTGCTCCTCGCATTCCGGGTCCGAGATGACCAGCACGCGGTCCATCTTTGGCAAGCGCTCATACTCGGCGGGGTCAGTCTTGCACCCTAGGTCAACGCGGAACGCGTCTAAGCCGAGTTCATCCGCTGCTTGCCATTCGAGCTCTTCTACAGACATGAAACCTGGGGAGTCGATGGATGGCATGAATTCGATGCCATTGGAGACGAGGAGGAATCCCTTGTAGTCCTCGGGAAGCACGACGCCGAGCCGCCGTTCCGCGTCTTGGATGGCAGACGAGGCAGCGGGAGGCTTCAGCAGCGTGGCGTGCTGTTCCCACTTCAGGACTTCGAGCATGGGTACGAGCGAGCTCCAAGGGAGGCCATCGATCTCTTGTGCAGAGGTGTGTTGTTGAGATCGGCCGACGGCAGAGGTAGTCGTGGAACGGAAGGAGTGCAACGCCTGCTTCACGAGCTCCGCACCACGACTTACCCGTTCAGCTGTGCTCCCGCTAACTTCGGCCACGATGCCTGTCCTGCAGAGCTTAACCAACGGTCGCCACCTCGCGATGTCGAATGTCCAGACGTCATTCATGTGGCTTTTGCAAGCGTCTTGTACTCTGAGTGTCGATGTCAGTCGGAATCCACTGCAACGTTATGAGGGTCAAGCTTCGTACAATTTTAGCATCCATTGACGAGCTTGCTCATCCCAGCCAGCATCGAGCGCCATCACGATCGCACCCGCCAGAGTGTAAGGCGTGAGGTACCAATCGTTATCGATGCCTATGCGGAGCTTGATGGACTCGAGGATATCGTCGCGGTCTTCTTCGGCAACGAGTTTGTAGCTGTCGCGGATGTCGCGATCCCAGATATCAAGATCCTCTGCGGAAGGCGTGTTCCATGATACAGTGGGTCTCTGCCCGGAGCTTTCCCATATGAACTCTATGGGTCGCAAGCATGGGTCACCTAAGCTCTCGATCGCGTTGGGGAAACTGCTGAGTAGCGTCAGCAAGATGGAGTTGCACGCATCCGTAAAGCCTTCGAGACCCAAGCGGATGGCGAAATGGAATACGAGGTTAGCGACCTTGTCTGCGTCGGAAGACGAGAGACCTGCTACTTCTGCAGCAAGATCTTCGCCGGATGTCATGGCAGCGGGGGTAGACGTCACCCCTAGCGTGTCATCCGTGCGACGGGATGAATGTCCCAGAAACTTGCGCGAAACAGAACCCGGGAAGATGCCGCTTATGTCACCGTGGCGAGCCGCTTTGTACAGTATACCGACCGTTCTCAGGGACTCTGGTGTGTCGGTAGCAGTCCAAAACTGGACTATCGACGCAACAATTAATTCTCATAGCTACGATGAAGTCGTGGATGCTTACCATCGCGTAAGACAGCGGCTTCAGAATCCCACGCCCGCGCCATTTCTGGTGGGACACGTCAGTTGTAGTTCGCCAAACCTGTGAATGTCGTACTCGTGTGTGTTTCATCCAACTCGAGCGATGCAGAAGACGCAATTCTGTCGTTCAATAGGCCAGAAGCGGCAAGCACTGTGAATTGGTAAGTGTAGCTCCGCCGAACACTGAAAGATAGTCCACTTACTGAGGCGGGCATTCCCCGTAGCGATGATGTCCAATCCACCACCATACTGTCGTCACGTCAGTAGCTGAAGATTAATTCAGTCCAGCGCATACCATTGTCTGTATAAGGTTGGCGGAGGACTCCAGCTTGAAATTCATGACATCTGTCGTGCCAGGTATGAACAGAAGATCGTAGCTGATAGGACATCGTTAAAATTGCACACGGCTCTCGGTTAGTACAACGAATGACTGACCTGTCGCTACCTGTCTGAGCTAAGAAGGACTTTACGGATATAATCTCTGCTCGCCCCAACTCGAAGTGACGTCGAACAGCCTCGTACTGCGAGTCCTGTAAAGTCAGATAGGTTGAATCCTCGCGGATCTGAAGGACATTGAGAGGTATCAGTGCGTTCGAGTTAGGTAGCGCTCTGCTTTGGAGAGCTTCCGATAAGCGCGCTATGCCTACAGGACGCCAGCGACAGGACCTACTCAGATGCCAGGAAGACCACGGTCTTTGGCCGAAAGACGTTAGACATCGCGAAAACGAATGCAGAAGTTTGGAGAAGCGAATCAAGTCGAGACGTCGAGCAATCTGTGTTTGCACCTTTAAAGACCTGGTGCCTCGTGATGTATGAGAAGCCAGAAGCCTTCAGTGGCATAGATCTAGAAATCGCTGTCCTCAAAACGTTCAAACGTTCACTGGTTGCGCTGGCCACCGCCCGCGACCCTACTAGTACACAGTACAGTGCCCTCCATTGCTCGTCTGATAATCAGAGCACCGCACATTCTTATAACACGAAGGAAGCACACCTTGTTAGATGGACGCTCGAATCAGACAGCGCCTTGGACGTCTTTGAGTTCGCGTCCGATGAGTCGCAACTTCGTTGAAAGTTTGCACGGTGCAGCCGTTGAAATTAAGAAACGTTGAAGGCGGTGCTCAGCGCCTGTGTGACAGTGTAAGTAGCGCTCGCAGTCACAGTACTGCCTGGTCCAGGTCCAGGTCCATGACAGTCACGTTGACAGCCCGGGCCAGCGGTACGTACCAAACCAATAGAAACCAATACCAAACTGGTATTGACCATATTGCACTAGTATTAATAGCACTTTGTTCTTACTACTTAGACACCGGGGGCAAGACGCGTTGACCGGAGTTCGAACATTATACGGACATCTTCCGACTTATGACATATTTTCCCTCGATGTCATTCCTCAGGACATCGCACGACCATGCCATGTTTCTTTAAGATGTTCGGAGAAAGGAACATCGCATGGACAGCACTTCTGTTTGCGTCTCGAACATGCCAAATGCGCATGTCATGTTCGGAGAGCAAACATTGTACTGTCACAGGGTATGCTAATAGTGTGACCTCGATTAGGACATGTGTAAACCAATCACAATGTTCGTATGCACAACATTGTGCCGACATACTATGACCATGAAGCATCATGTTATCATGTTCATGCACTGGACATTTCGAAGTTTTGGAGAGTGAACATTCCAAGGACATGTGTGATCATTGAAAGAACATGATTAAGAAGCAATGTTTTTACAATGTTATGACAGATGATGGCTTTCCGAACATTTGAAATGTTTGGCCTACGGACATGCGCAGGAAATATATTATGGTCGCGCTATGTTCTCGTGATGTTCCGGGTACGAACATAGCACCTGTTTTTTTTTAATGTTCTGGTCAGGAACACGCGGTAACCATACCTTGGGACAATCCGATGTTATCTCTCCGAACATGACACGCACATTCGTCATGTTTGAGCCACGAACAGAGGGGCTGTTGTTGTAATGTTTGGAGGCCAGAACATTACAGGGACATACCGTATGAGCCAGGCTCCTAATACCAGCCGTCCATAGTGTTCTCGCTCGTACATGTCGAGGGGGGACTTCAGCCTATATACGAAAAAATATAAAATGAGCGCTTAAATCAGATTAGACGCTCTAAAGTTTTGACTTACTATACTGGGGAATTTATTTAGCCGAATTGACGAGGAGAACACTATAGGACGGCTGGCCAAACTTGTCCCCGAGGCATGGCCGAGGGGGCGCTTATTGACTAGTCAAAGCGACGTACCCCTACGCTAGGTCTTATTTACTGGAGTATCCGACTGGCGTGCGGTCGCGTATGTAATCAAGCTTGGGCGGCTGCCAAGGGCCCGCGCGATCGCAAATTGGCGAAAAGAAATCAAAAATTGATGGGGACTCGAACCCGTGCGCCGTAAAAGACAGCCGTGCGCTATAACCACTCGACCATAGCAGCTACGTAGGTTCCTCAACGGCACGCGATAAGAGTACACTACAGCGTGTGGGCGCTATTCTCGTACGCCCTGCTGTCACCTGTCAGCGCCGTCTGCGGGAAGTGCGCGGCCTGGCACATCAGCGAAGCACACAATGACTTTTCTCGTGTCCGTGTAGGAGTTGCCTCTGACAGTTAGTCAATGACTGCTGAGTTCTTATCATCTTCACCCCTTCTGACAGCAGGGCGTACGAGAATAGCGCCCACACGCTGTAGTGTACTCTTATCGCGTGCCGTTGAGGAACCTACGTAGCTGCTATGGTCGAGTGGTTATAGCGCACGGCTGTCTTTTACGGCGCACGGGTTCGAGTCCCCATCAATTTTTGATTTCTTTTCGCCAATTTGCGATCGCGCGGGCCCTTGGCAGCCGCCCAAGCTTGATTACATACGCGACCGCACGCCAGTCGGATACTCCAGTAAATAAGACCTAGCGTAGGGGTACGTCGCTTTGACTAGTCAATAAGCGCCCCCTCGGCCATGCCTCGGGGACAAGTTTGGCCAGCCGTCCTATAGTGTTCTCCTCGTCAATTCGGCTAAATAAATTCCCCAGTATAGTAAGTCAAAACTTTAGAGCGTCTAATCTGATTTAAGCGCTCATTTTATATTTTTTCGTATATAGGCTGAAGTCCCCCTCGACATGTACGAGCGAGAACACTATGGACGGCTGGTATTAGGAGCCTGCGTATGAGCTAGCTAAGATAGCCCCAGCTCATCCTCGACGACTCTCAGCGTCTCTCCAGAGTCACATGATCTATCTATATCGGGGTTATCCAACTAGGGTTACAGCTAGGGTTTCGACTAGGGTCAGCTACGAAGCTGAGGAGGGCCGTACTACGATAAGTATATGATTAGTCGATGAGAGAGGAATGATCTATAGTGCAGGATATTAGTAAAACAGAATCATAGTAGCAGTTATAGAGCTGTAAGGATAAAGAATTAGAACAGGGAGGAGAAATAGTATGGTCACGAAGTTTGGCTATCCACATTGTCAAGCTCGGCGAGAATGCTCTCTGGAAGAACACGGTGGCCGTGGTACTTCTTGCTCGCCCACAAGGCTTGCTTCCCGGTGAGGCCTTTACGGTATGCATCCATAAATCGCAGGCTGCGATTGAAAAAGCTGGTTTTGGTAAGTATTGTATTCAAGTCGAGAATGAAGATCACGTACCGGCGAATGTGCTCGATTGAGACTGTGCTCAATGCAGACACCACGTTGCGTTCAAGATCGGCCTCAATTGACGACGGAGGATATTCGCGATACTTGCGCTTCGCGAAGCCCCAACATTGCTCGATGGGATTGAGTTCGCAATGGAAGCGCGGAAGGAATATGAGCCCGTAACCACGTTTTTTGCAGTGCATCTCGACCAAAGATTCGACATCACGGAAGTCGGGTTCATTGTAGAGGAGCCGGCGACAGCAACATCGCAGCACGTCAGGGGGGCACTGGAACTTGGGACATTCAGCCCGAAGACCATCAATGTCCTTGTGGCCACGCTCCTTGAGTATCTGTGCCATTCCTTTGAACTCCCCAGCTCGTTCGTGCCCATCAGGGAAATATAACGACTGAGGACGACCATCGCTGAAGCGCGCATCACCCATGCGGATCTTGTGCTTCAGGATTTTTCCGTCCGGGCCATGCATCACCTTCCCATTCGGTCCAATGACATTTGCGACGACTGCAAAGTTTTTCGATGGGCCCTTGGGCATTTTACGCGCGGAGAGAGCATTGTCGGCGCGTTTAAGGTGAGTCGGGGCATTGTCGATGACAAAGACGTGCTTTTCGCAGGGGTAGTCCTTGTCGAGAATATCCATCGCCAGGGTGAGTTGATCGAGCACGTCATTCGACTGGAAATACCCATCCCGGTTTTTGCCTGCCTTGAAAAGTGTCCGGACAGACAGACTGCCATCCTTGGATTGCAAGAATCCATAGTCGGCCGAGACGAAATCGCCCACCATGAGGGAAGCTCCTTCCCCTTTCGGTCGTGGCTTCGCTTTTTCTGACGTCTTTACCCATCGCAATTCACGGCGGTCGTTGGCGTAGAACGTTGACTGATCGCCAAACCACATGTTTGTGAAGTCGAGCAATAAGTCGAGCGACGTGACTCCGATGACCACTTCCAGTGACTCGGATGTCCGGCCTGGAACACGGGATTCCTCCGTGCCATCCGCCTTCCACTGGCGAAGATTCTGCTCATGCTTGAGCATTTCGGGAAGGAAGGTCCCCTGACGGTAGGCCACCACATCATCGCGCTCGTGCCCATCAATGAACTGACCGCGTGGTGTCCGAGTCCATCGATACTCCAGCGCCCGCATCCATTCATGAGCTGTCGACAGGCAGACGCCCTTCTCCAATCCATGCCGCTCGTGTACATCTTGTCTTGCCATGTACTGGACAATGTCGGCTGCGCAAACGTACTTCCCAACACTTTGAAGGTGCGCCTCGATCTCCTGTTTGAGCTCGTCATTCGTCTCGAGGATTGACTTGTTCCAGGTACCATAGGGGTTGAACGGCAGGTCGTGGCGATCGGCAATGAATGCCTGGCACCAACCGCGGAGGCATCTCGCAAGGTACGGGCCACCCCGATTCACATGTGCCACAGTCTCGGATGCCTTGATCCACCCAGGGAGTGGCATCTTCGCATAGCACCAAAACAGCGAGCACATCATGGTCATGCGATCCCTGAGCAGGTCATCACCCTTGAAGGGCTTCGTGCCAATGCCATTCGCGCGAGGCGGTCGTAACAGGAACTCGAGGTCGTCGAGGGCAGCATGCGCAGATTCCAAATCGGGAGGAGGTGTGTACCGAAATTTGAATGTATTATGGTCTGACTCGGAATCCACGGTGTTCTGCATGTCATGCAGCACACTAGGAGACTCCGGGCCTGTACGAGGACTGCTCGACACGGACTCCTGGTACTCGCCCACTGCTGTCGGAGTCGGTCCAGGTACAGTCGCCGGATTCGGTGGCATAGCCCAGGTAGGCCGTGATATCTCCGCAAATGTCTGCGAGAGCCGCATGGATGCTTGCTGAGCCTTCTGCAGATGCTGCTCCGAGTCGTACTCTACAGATCCGGCATGCTCGGGCTCAGCCGCCATTTCCGGGACATCTAAAAGAGGTGTCTTTCCGAGGTCCAAGACAGTGAGTACCATGACACTGAACCAACACAGTACACAAACTCACATTCTCCGAGTCTTGCTCAGTGATAACTCCAGGGGAACTCCTGTTCCTCTTTGCAAGGTTAGAGAGATTCTTTCTCTTGCGACCCGATAACGGCGGCATTCGTGCTGCTAGTTTAGCTCGCTGGCGACGACATGCACTCGCGCCCGCGTCGAAAATCCGATTATTTCCTATTAAACCAAATATATTTGTAAAATAGCTAGATCTATTGATGTTTGCCTATCAGGACTCGAACAGTCTTATGCGGCGTCGATTTTCTCTCCTAACAATCAAGGAAAGTTCATTTTGAACACAGTTAGGAGAACAGAAAATATATTTAGGGGCTCTGTTGATCTCTGATAGATTTCGAAGACCGTCGCACTGCCAGAATGGCTTGAAGCGCGCGGTCAATGTCTCACGTGATGTAGTCGAGTATGAGCTGGGGCTATCTTATGTCCTGAGGGATAACACCGTGGGAACATATGTCATAAGTCGGAGGATGTTCGTAGAATGTTCGTACAACGACCACCGCGTCTTGCCCCCGGTGAGAGTCGAGGTTCGCTTTCGCCCGCCACTTCCATAAACGACGACGGACGACTCGGACGTAGCCTGACTCGGAGACTGAGTGGCACCTACTACTAGTACCGGCAGCGATCGACTCGACATAGATGACGATGGAAGAGCGCGTAGTCAAAGGCCTTCCAGCATCTCGGAAGCTCTTGGATCATAAGCTCAAACCGACTCGGACAGCTCCTAGACCGAAAGTTGCAATGCTAGTCACCGGGTGAGCATTTTCCCGGAGGAGCTGCGACTGCCATTCAAGTTCAGAGTTATGATGTAACACGTACGCGTTCGCAGTGACTTGGACCCGGGCTCCTTCAAGTTCTTGGACACGCTACACATTCGTGAAGAAGTGACATATATCACCACCTCTAACTCGCAAATCGAAGATGTTGGCGCCCACGTCGAACGAGCGACGGTCGTCACCGCCGAATCGTTTCTGAGACAATACGAGAGTAAGAGGTGTGTTAAACTCTGTCTGTTTTATCGATGCTCATTACTTTATCCCTCCCCGTGCCGCAGCTACGATGCTTTGTTCATTCCCGGGCAGCAAGGGGAACCGCAATGCCAACAGAGCACTTGCTCTACTATCGTCCAAACACTCGTATGTCGGGTTCTTACTGGCAGCGTGGTCAGGCCGTGCTCATTGACCCCGATTAGTATGATGACCATCGCGAGATCATCGCTACTGGTCCAGGTCGATTGCGTAAGGTGACTTAAGTGACCCGTGATATTTATATCTCACTATCTTCTTCCGGTAGTTACCATACCCACAGGTCTGACAAGCAGCAGGCGCATCTCTTCTATATCAGTTGAAGCCTCAAGGGTAGGACACATTCTGGGCCCGGGGCAGTACCGACTCGAGTCCAGAGAGCGACGGGCCACTTTGGGAGGATATCGAGATTGTAAGAGACGGTATGAAATATGACAGCAGACGTGTATACTGCGCTTACATGCATTGAAGGTTACCTATGGACGGCTAGTGGCGCGCAAGAGACCTTAACATCCCTTGCATTCTTGTTCAAAGCCGCATGGAAGGGCAATATGGTTTGTTCCGTCTTTCCCGGGCACAGCCGCTGTCCACTTAGAGACGACGACGGGGGACAAGACGGCACTCCCTCGTCATCATCGCCGCTATCCACCGACGCCGCCACCGAGTTGGCAGACAAGATCGCAGAAACTCCTCTATCAGAAGCAGCAAACTTAACAAGTTCGGTCACTCAGTTCGCCGTCCGCTTGGGCCTCGAAGGTTTCGTATCCAGCTGCAATTTGCTCATGCTCACCTTGCTCTCCGTGTTCCCCGATAATGCCAAGTTCAGGACCTCATGGATGCGATCGACGGACGAGCGCTGGAACTCGTCTGGCATTACTCCGCGCAGAGACCCGCGCTACCGTGGGACGCCCCTCCGAAGACGAGATAGAGAAATGGGAGAAGGCCAGCCAGAACGCCGAGTGGTACCCATCTATCGAAGACCTGGGAGACACCCTCGAATCTGTCAAAGTTCGCATGCGGCTTGATGATGAGAACTGGACACTACCGCCGTACTCCCTTGCCGGAGCCATCTCCATGGCTATTGACGCAGGTTGGGAGAACGAGGCGCACCTGTGGCTGTCTTCCCTGTATGTCTTGTGTTCTTCGCTGACATCACGAGCTGACCTTCCTATCACAGCGTCCGAACTGCGACGCCCGACGTATGGAGTGCACAACTCGAACACTGGCCGAAAGTTGTCAAGCTTGCCATAAATGGAGTGGTTGCCGAAGCGACTGGGCGTAGCAGCGATGATGCTGAACGTGACGCCGCCATCGTAAGACGAGCTCTGTTGTCTTTTCCAGAAACGTCCGCGGCGGTCGAAGAACAGCGACACTCAATCGCTCAGAGGGTTTCCCTCGCTCCTCTGCCGTCGCTTCTTCCAATGCTGGATGTCCTGAAATGGGATCAAGATGAGAAGCTTCTGAAGCCACCGGCGTCGCCTTCTGCGATCCACAAGGCGGAAGTACGGCTCGGCGTGCAGCTTCCGGAGGATTACAAACAATTCCTCCAGCTCTCTAACGGCCTCGGACCCACAACCGTCAATAGGCCCGGTCTCAAGCCCGTAGAGCAGCTGCTCTGGGAGGACCCGGACAGACTTGGCCTCGAGTGGTTCCACGTCGACCTAGGGTGCAACGTCCATTCATCACCGAACGTGAAACTGCCGAAGCCCGGGCGCGTTTTGATGCTCTCGGATGACCACAGTGAAGAGTCAATGTGGCTTGTTGAGCCCGGCTTCGTGTCTGAGGCTATACATGCCCTCAAGGGTCACGATCAATCGGATGATGCGTTAGATCCATCAGGATGGCGGTGAGCCTCAACTTGTATAGAGACACACAAGCGGAGCTTATCGTTGAGGCCTCCACAGACTAGTCGTATTCATTGCGTGGAGCCCAGAAATCATATGGCCTAAGAGCTTCCGTGCATACATCGAAGACCTTGCCAAAGATGCGCACCGGAAAGCGGGAGCCATGCCGGTGTTCGAGCACGAGACACTTCAGAGCCGCCTATGAACATGCTATCTCACTTGTGAATGTTAACTACTTATTGAGTCATCCATCTGACCTTGCATTGATGTTCTATTAGCAACATTCCGAGACTGCATCGGAGGAAAGGTTTTGTGGCGAGGTTCGAACGACTTGCATGAGGTCAATCCTCGCCTAAGGACTTGCCCGTATACTCATCTAGCGTCCGGTCATCGAATATTACATCACATTCAGAGATGGTATGCTTATACTCTGGCTAACTTGGTAAGGCTGACAGATCTATGAGTCCCGTCGCGAAGGTCCTGGCACTACCAGGACGGGTTCCCGGTGATGATTCTCAGACATGTACTCGGCAGCATGGAAAGTGCATTGAGGCCAAGGTACGTCATCTCTCTACAAAATACGGCATTCTACAGTATGCGTTACCGACTCTTGAGGTTTCAGGAGCCCGAATCAGTGCACCAGCCGCCCGATCAACCACATTCTCACACTGCGACACAGCCGCAGCCAGGTTTTGACCTTCTCCTGGACCTTCACAACAGTCAAAGCGGTGTCATAGTCACCAAGAGACGCGCTTATTAATTCTGAATCTACAGCGCATCCTTCAGACCTGGCATGTCAGCAAACTTGTTGTCCAGCGTTGAAGAAACTCTCAGCAACACAGGTCTGCGACACGTCACAGCATGAATGCCATTGTTTACATAGCTGGGTACGTTCAAGTACTACACCAGTCTGGATTCGAGCTGTCGCTCAGAGAAATGGACCCTTCCTAACAGGCATCTCGACCCGAGCTCCCTGCTCTTTCTTGACACACTGCGGATCCGCGAGCAAGCAATATACCTCGTCCCTGACGATCTAAAAGAAGATGCCATACAGAGGGGACTAGATTCCACGAAAGTCTCCAGCCTCTCATCCTTCTTGAAAGAAGGCGACCGCGGAAGGTTTGCATGCCATTCACTGCTCAACGTGCGCATCGGCTTAGTTTCGTGTCCGTAGCTATAACCTTCTGTTCATACCCGGACCATCAAAGACTGACACATCGTCGATGGAGGAAGCGGCCTCCCACATACAGGCTCTGGTACGTTCTTGACGTCCGAAACTGTGAACATACTAATACATACGTCATATCAGTATGGGGACGGTTTGATCACCGTTGCTACCGGAAATGGTCGCTTATGTAGGAGTTCAGTTTGTTAGAAAATCTTCATATAAGCTTACTTAAATGTCTAGTGCTCGCGGAGTCAGGGCTACTCAAGGAACACGCCGCGTCGGCTGCCTCGCTTGATTTGCCTCAAACGCAAGCCGGTGGGTATATAGCAATCAAAATCACAGTGTCTCTATAGCTCATTCCTCATCAGCATCAGTATGCGACTGGCTCGACGACGACATCATTCGTGATCGTACGTTAGTGCTGCAAGACCTGGGTGGGCATTGTGTATTGACCGCATACCTTGCGCAGGCTATTTCTGGACAGCCAAGGACTCGCCGGAAACTCTCAGGTCCCTAGCATATCTGGTTAAAGCGGCCGTGAGGGGAATTCAGAGTTCCTTCTTCCCTCTACCAACCTTTTTGAAACGCTGGCAAGCTGAATTCGGAGATCAAACGGCGCCCGTAGAGTCGATGAAGCCGTCGGAGACGCCGGGAGCTGACTTGGCCAAAATCATCGCTGGCTCTATGCCCTCCGAAGCCGACCAGATACCTCATCCGATCGTTCATTTGGCCATGCGTGTTGGCCTGGAGGGCTCTACGGCTTCCTGCAACGCCCTGGTGCGCTCGTTGTTCGACGTGTTCCCGAACACATACGAGCTGTTGGGCGCTCCTTCCACACGACCATTCGAGTACCTCTGGCGACGGACTGGTGACAGACCTCACGTGCCATGGGAGGCCCCTTCAGACGATACCATAAGATTGTGGGAGCAGGAGAACAAGGAAGACCACCATTATCCGACCAAAGATGACCTTACAGACGTCCTCGAGTACGTGAAGGTGACGATTGCTTACGAACGCGGCGACTGGAGGTTAGCTCCCTACACGCACGCTGGCGTTGTTGCTATGGCGCTAGAAGCTGGTGCGGAGCAGGAGGCGCATGCTTGGATGTCGGAACTG